ATTACGAATCTTCGCGGCACCAAGTATCCTTCCTTTCTTAGTCAAATGCACTTGAACGGGGTGTCCTAAAAGCGCGTATACAGACAGTTTGATCATTAATATCTCTTAAGATATCTCTTATCTCTTATTAACGATCAAACTACCTCTTGAGTGCTCTAGTGTTTTATTCGAGTTGCAGCTTCAACAGTTGGAGTTGTACTAAATCGCTGCAGCCCTTTTTCCTTCCCTCCCGTCCACTGAGCATTGAAGTCCGGAGCGAAAAAGCGGGTCTACTAAGCTCCGGAAGTGTTCCGGACTGCGCCTCTTTCTTCCGGACTGTTTATCCAGCGATTTCTGCTGCTTAAGCGCACACACCACACACGGTTATTACGAAAGGGTATCAGAGTGACTCTGCGCCCCAAACATCGCACGAGAACTTTTTTCACAAAGTCCAACCAATTTATCTTTGAATTATCCGGAAATCAATCTAATTTTATCGAAGAAAGCGAGGTCTGCCCGATTTGATAACTTTTTGGGTTGCTTTCGAGAAGTTTGCGTTACATTCCAAAGATGAGGGGAGGGGTCGCGATCTGCCCCCTGTTCTCTTTTTATTGGCCAGTGATGTGTTGATTGTTTCATGAACATGCTGGATTTTTGAGTTGCAGTGCCTACAGCTGTTGTGGATAAAGATGTAATCCGTGAGATTTTCGCACAAATTTCCAACCGATCATCAAAGCAAAGGTAGGTGTTTTTTCTATAGTCAAGTGTTGATAAGAAGTCCCTTTTTCCAGTAATTTTCTATTCAACGTGTTCGACGCATTTTCGATTCCCCGATTCGAATTTGATGCTGATTGCCGCAAGATACTACCTGTATCAAGGAGTAGCAAAGTCGTTTCCGATGTTGACAAAGCTACGCAGGCGCTGAGACACCGGTTTCAACTGGTGGCGCAGGTTTGGTTCACGGAAGTGTTTTCTCGCTCCTTCCATTTTAATTTTAGCGAATAGGACGATGTCGACAGTTACAAAGTATCAAATTCAGCACGATTGAAGCCCTGCTGAGTAGTTCACATCGGCAAAGTGATGTAGTCGTTGTTGGAATGCTTACACAACAGAAGGCATGTTCTTATCACTTGCGATTTAAGTGAGTTATCCAGTTAAATTTATATTTTAGAGTCACTGCTTTCATATAGAAGATCTCACTGGTTCTGTGCAAGTAAAATTTGATGAAAATACCAAATTTCAGTTAGGCATTTTCACAGAAGGATGCGTTGCCATTTTTCAGGTATTCACAAGCTTTTATAACTGCGACACAGTACCGTATGTTTACATTTAAGGGCAGCTATGAAGCTTCTTTGCTCGATGTTCGAGAAGTTGCATCCATACCTATAGAAAGTGCTGTAGATACTCGCAGTACTTTTGGAAACGTAAATTGGTTCGGGGGTGATGATGCGGTACGAAGATTTTTGGGCTCATTCTTTTTTCAAAAACCCTTCTTCAGGTAGCATTCCGATGTAACGTAAAACTCTGCGTTGCCGAACGTAGTAATCCAAATGCGCAGATCATTCTTATTTCGGATGTTCATTTAGACGATTTCAATGTGCTGTAATGATCTTATGAGAATGTATCTATCTATTCTTAGTCATTTCTAGGTCATGAAAGCTTTGTACCATATGCTAAGTGGATTTTCTAATGATCCTCCGCTCGCATTTATATTCTGTGGAAACTTTTGTTCTAAACCAAGGCAAAGGGACACAATGGATATCCTTCACAAAGGTTTTCAGCGGTCAGTTTTGTGTTTGTCAGTTT